CTCGTATCAGAATTGGAGGAAGATCCATTAACAACCTGCCATATGCAGATGACTCACTTCGCTTGCTGAAAGCGAAGAGGACTTGAAATACCACTGAAGATCAAAGACTACAGCCTTCAGTGTGGATTGCACCTCAATGTAAAGAAAATGTAAATTCTCACAAATGGACCAGTAAATAGCATCATGATAAATGCAGAAAAGACTGACGTCACCCAAGACTTCATTTTTGTTTGGATCCATAAGCAACTCATGGAAGCCAAAGTCAAGAAATCAAATTTGCATTAGGCAAATCTGCTGAAAACAGTAACAACAACAAAAACTTAAAAAACCCAAACATACATTGGGGCCTGTGTTATGGATTCAACTGTGTTTCCCAAAATTTTGTGTTGTAAATTTTGGGAGACACAGATGCAGGGTCACTATAGTTCTACTCCTCCATAACAGAAACCCAACGAGTGTCTTGCCAAAGAACCAGGATCCATCGTGAAATTAACTCACAAACCCGGTCATCACCTTCTACCACCATTGCTCTGAAAGGGGTCGCATTAGAAGATACTGGATAGAATGGGAGAAAATGTGGAACAAAATGCAAAATTATAGCATCGTCCAGGTTTACTGGTCAAAAAGAGACTGGAGGAAATTGAGTCTATGACCCTTCAGGTGTGGAATGGACTTCAACCTGTGGCCCAATTCCAGCCAAGTAGATAGGTATGTTGTTGTTGTTGTTATGTGCCGTGGAGTCGGTTCCAACCCATAGCAACCCTGAACAGGGTTTCTGAGGCTGTCAAATCTTTACGGGAGCAGAACGCCTCATCTTTCTCCCGCGGAGCAGCTGGTAGTTTGAACTACTGACCTTGCGGTTCGCAGCCCGATTCATAACCACAACGCTACCAGAGCTCTTTAGATAGGTATGTAGGGAGGACAAAAACATGAGTAAGGTCTACTCACCAGGAAATGGTCAACACATTCAAGATAAAAAAGGCACCATTCACCTAAGGACAAAGTTGAGAAGGGATGGGAAGGAGACTGGAATAGAAAACTAGGAACCATAGGGAGGAAGCGGGATAATGGTTGTTGCATGGCGGAGATTGTAATCATTGAGATGAAACAAAGTGTTTGATTTGTTGAATGTATACCTGATGATCTTATCTGCAAACCTTCATTCAATTCACAATAATAATAAAAAGGTCAGCCATCACAGCCAGGGTTCTTGTGTTCAGGGGCTAGAGGCTTTAAGGAATGTTGATTTTTACAGAGCAGGACAAGGGAAGAAGGGAATGGAAGTTTGGTGTTTTTGTTGCTCTCAAGATGCCCAGACAGACAGACAGACAGACAGAAGAGAGGCCCAGCATTGAGGAAAGTGGAGTCTAGAGGGGCCTGAGGAGAGAGGTGACTCTGAAGGATTGCCCAAGATTAGATGGGGACTAGGGAAGACATTAAAGTCAGCGGTTCGAAACTACCAGCCGCTCTGCGGGAGAAAGATGAGGCTTTCTACTCTCGTAAAGATTTATACCCTCGGAAACCCTGTACAGGGTCGCTATGGGTCGGAACCGACTCGATGGCACTTCACAACAGCAACAACAGGGAAGACAAGGTGGTCTCAGCATTTCTTAGGCGGGAAGAACTGAAGAAAACATTCAAGCCTTGGGTTGCAATATTGAAGGATTCTATGAGCGAAACAGAGTCCTGGTGTGGCACTGTAGGATCAGCACTGGACTGCTAATCCTCGATTGATGGTTCAAACCCAACAGCCGCTCCTTGGGAACCCTGTACAGGGTCACTACGACTCAAAAGCACTGAACTAAAAATGAGCAACATATTGAAAGACGCAGGAAGCATCCAAAGAAGATGGAAGGAATACACAGTCAATGTACCCAAAAGAAATGGCCAATGCTCAACCATTTCAAGAGGTAGCTTATGATCAAGAACGGATGATACTGAGGGAGGAGGTCGAAGCTGCACAGAAGGCATAGGTATTGATGGACTACAAATGGAACTGTTTCATCAAACTGGTGCGAAACTTCGAGTAAAAGTTTGCTGACGAGAATTTCAAAATGGTGGCAGCAGTACACCAGCATGGAGCTAGTGAGTGAAAAAGAGGCAGACCCTTAATGGATGACGCAGTGACAATGGGCTCAAACACAACAATGGTGAGGATGGTGCAGTAGGTACTGTTTACTTGTGCGAAGCGTCACTATGAGTGGGAACCGACTCAAGTGCACCTAAAAACAACAACGATTAGGACATCGATCTTTATGCATTTCATTTCATTTTGGACAACTTCCAATTTTCTTAGATTCAGACAACATGCACTCCACGTTCCAATCAGTAATGGATGTTTGCAGCTGTTTTTTCTCATTTTGACTTGAGCCCGGTTAGCAAACAAAGGTCCTGAAAGCTTTGCTCCATCCACACCATTAAGGTCAACTCTACATTGAAGAGAATATTGAAAGTGCCATGGGCTGCCCAAAGAACCAATAGATCTGTTTTGGAAGAAGTGCAGCCAGAGTGCTCCTTAGAGGCCAAGATGATCAAACTTCGTCTCTCATACTTTGGACACATTGTCAGGAGGGACCAGTCACTGGAGAAGGATCTCATGTTTGGTAGGGAGGAGGGTCAGAGAAAAAGAGGAAGACCCTGAACGAGATGGATTGGCCAAGTGGTAGCATTGATGGACTCAAGTGTGGCAACAGTAGTGAGGTTGGCCCAGGATCTGGCAGTGTTTCATTCTGCTGTACATAAGGTCCCTATGAGTCGATACCGACTCGATGGCACCTAACAACAACTACATTGAGGAGGCAGCTCTTTCCTAGTTGCATTTTGAGTGCCTTGCAATCTGAGGGGCTCATCTTCCCGCACTATATCTGATAATGTTCTGCTGGTATTCATAAGATTTTCAGTGGCTAAACATTCAGAATTGGCCCACCTCTCTAGTCTATCTTAGTCTGGAAGCTCAGCTGAAACCTGTCCACCATGGGTGACCCTGCTAGTATTAAAATGCCGGTGGCACAGTTTCAAGCAAGACAGTAACATGTAAGCCACAGGCAAACTGACAGACAAGTGGTGGGTACCTATTTGGTTCCTAGTTTAAAAGAGGAGTTTTGTTTGAATGGAATATGTATAGAGTGCCTTTATTGTCCTTTTGCTTTTCATGTGTGAAATTATCTTAACTCTTTTATTGTTTGTTTCAGAACAAAAGTGTTTTTCAGTACCAGTAACTTTGACAGCAATAGTATTGTCTTGACCATCCCTACATCAATGCATGTAGGTATTTGACTTCATCTGAAAGACACCAAAGATAAGTAATATTCAGTGGTAGTTAGAGCTTGGGAATACCAAACATTTGGTTTTGGTAAACTGGGAGTTTGTTTTTTAGCATATCTTTTAAAGACATTTAACACAATTTCTGAACCCAAAGAAATAATTCACTTCTCTAGTGTGCCATCACATACATTCCATGAGGGGGTGGCTTAAAACCCAGAAATCCAAATTCGAGATTCATGACGTGGATCTAGAGGGAGGCCCACCCTTGTTTGTTTCAGTCTCCAGTAGCTGCTGGGCATCCTTGTAGATGCTCTATCTCCATGGTCTGTCTTCCTCCTTCTTCCTGTGTATATCTCTTCATCTGTTTTCCTCTGGTGGCACAATGGTTACACACTCGACTGCTAACCCTAGGTTGATGGTTAGAACCTACCAGCATCACCTTGGGTGAAAGACCTGGTGATCTGCTCTCATAAAGATTATTGTTTTTTTTGGGGGGGGTGTCCAAGAGTCGCTTGTATAACAAAATGAAGCATGTCCGTTCCCTCTGCCAGCCTCACAATCATTGCTGTGTTGGACCCATTGTTGTAGCCACTATGCCAATTCAGCTCATTGACAATGTTCCTCTTTATCGCTGCCCCTCCACTTTCCCAAGCACGATGTCCTTCTCCAGGGACTGGCCCTTCCTGATGACCTGCCCAAAATACGAGAGACTAACTCGACACATTTGATTCTAAGGAGCATTCTGGCTGTACTTTTTGTTCAATGTTTTAGCAGCAGGATACTTTTTTTTTTTCACCTTCCATCTTTAAAAAAAAAATTTTTATTATGAATTATGTGATAGTTTCCATGGGAGAGCACCAGCTTTACATTCATCCTATCGTATTTTGTTTCATTGCAATGATTACAATCCCCTCCATGCATCATCAAACAACCAAAGGGTACACCCTGCAAGCCTGCCCCCGGCAGTCAGCACATAGACCCTCTCCCTGCCTGAGTTCAGAGTCCCCAGCTGCTCCATCTCTCCACATCCTCATCTCTGCCTCCATCTCTGGTATCACTGCTTCTCTGGATAGGGTCCCACACTCTGCTCTTCTCCCTTGATGGTCCCAGGGACCGCTGCTTCTGGACTGCAAGATCAACCCACTCCCCTGCTTTTGTTACAAAATATCTACCTTTACATTTCCGACCCTCACAGTCAGTCCTGATAGTAATTATTCACTATTGTATCTCAAGAGTCTTATCCCCATCTCCTTTTATCAGCCCTATCCCAACAGATTTGAAATCACTCAGTGGAGAGTCTACCTTCCCCTGCACCCTCTGGAACGAGGCTCTCTCTCTCTCTCTTTTTAAATGTTTTATTGTGAATATATCTGATAGTTTACATGGGAGAACTTTAGTTTTACATTCATCCCATCGTATATCATCTCATTGCCATGGTTCCAATCCCCTCCATGCATCATCATAGGCTCTCTCTTGAAAGCTTGTAAGCCAGTCACTTCATGCCTTTGTTGTGGGGAAGATTCTTGTCTGTTTCCTGGTTCTGTGAATATCTCCATGTAGCTTGGCATCTACCGTCCTAGCCTCTGCTTGGTTAATTGGCTCTTTTTATATCTGTGAGAGACTGGCTCAAGAACACCCCACACTCACAGTGCCTCACGAATATAACAAAGGCAAACCCACCCCAAATAGGGTTATAACAAACAGGGATAGAGCTTAGGATCTGTGGCACGTATTCTTGGGGGACACACAATTCAATCCGTAGTGGCGACCCTACTGGTCAGAGTAGACCTGCCTCAAGGCTATAGTCTTTACCGAAACAGATTGCCACATCTTTTTCTCATAGATCATCTGGTGGGTTTGAACTGCCAACTTTCATTAGCCTAGCCGTTTAAACACTGCACCACCAGGGTCTGTTCTCAGAACCTAGGAGCCCACCAAATGTTGGCTCTGTAGGCTAAATACTGGAGCCCTAGTGGCAGAGTGGGTCGAGTGTTGGACTGTTAACTTCATGGTGGGCAGAATCCACCAGCCACACCAGGAAAAAGATGAGGCTTTCTGCTCCTATAGAGATTTGTAGCCTCGGGAACAATGCATCGGAATTGACTCGATGGCACACAACAACAACAGGATAAGCACTGGGCTGTGAACCACAAGGTAAGGTTTGCGGTTCAAGTCGGCCAGCTTCCTCTCAAGGAGCTCTGGTAGTGTAGTGGTTATGAGTTGGGCCGCTAACTTCAAGGTCTGCAGTTTGAAACTACTAGGTGTTCCAAGGGAGAAAGATGAGGCTTTCTGCTCCCGTGAATATCTACATGGCAGAATCATGGCACATAACCAAGCAACCAAGCAGCCCCTTAGGAGGAACATTAGGCTTTCTGCTCCTGCAAAGATTTACAGCCTCGGAAACCCTATAGAGGAGGGATGGGGAACGTCCAGCTTACTGGACATATAAGGCCCATGAAATCATTTGGTCTTGCTCTGCCAAGGCAACCGCAGTTCCAGCCATCGCATTGTTGTTGTGTTGTGAAGTGCTGTCAAGTTGGTTCTGACCCATAGTGACCCTGTATAGGGTTTCCGAGGAGTAGCTGGTGAACATGAACCGCTGACCTTGCAGTTCAAATGGCTTTGCAGTCTGGCGCATTAACCCATAGCACCACGCCAGGATTCCTTAACCATCGTATTAGGGGTGAGTTAATTAAATGTTTGACCAAATATAGCAAGTTAA